GAGGAGGACGAGGAGGAGGGAAAGGAGGAGGAGGACAAGGGGGAAAAGGAGGCGAGGAGGGTAGGGGACGAGGAGAACGAGGAGGAGGAGGAGGAGGAGGAGGAGGAGGGACTGTCTTGTTTTAGCACATCGGGCTTATGTTCTAAGAACACTGTGTTTGTTTTTAGAACATGTCTGGGTTCTAAGAACAATTCGCGATAGGCGTATAGGAATGCGAGGACGGTCGGTCCCTGCTCAAAAAAGATACCCATACCTGTACCCTTGCCTCGACCGTTTTCCCCTTTTTAAGCCTCCTGGGCAGCCCTCGTCGCCACCGCTGTATTCGCCTCGAAATCGCGGTATCGGTACCTCTTGGTTTCCCCAGAGGAGGCGCAGGCTGGAGGGGGGAGGGGGGAGGTCCTCCTCATCCCCCTTCTCCTCCTCCTCCTCCTCCTCCTCCTCCTCCTCCTCGTCTCCTCCTCCTGCTCCTCGTCCTGCTCCTCCTCCTCCTCCTCCTCCTCCTCCTCCTCCTCCTCCTCCTCCTCCTCCTCTCAGGCCATTGGGGGGGCGAGGGAGGAGGGAGGAGGAGTGGACAGGGAGGGGGGGGGGGCGAGGGACAGGGCGGAGGAGCGGAGAGGGAGGGGGCGCGGGCCGAGGAGGGAGGAGGGAGGAGGGAGCGACCAGGAGGACGAGGGGGGAGGATGTGGGAGGATGGAGGTGGGAGCAGGGGGGCTCCGTGGTCGCCTGCGGCACCTGACCCCGAGACGGTGACAGCTTGGCGGTGGAGGGAGGGGCGAAGAGCCCTGGGAGCTCCGCAGTTAGGCGTTGCCCCCCGCCCTTCCCCCCCGAGCACCGCATACGCTTCCAGTCCTCGCGGACGTGGGGATTTCAGGCGATCCGAAACATGGAGCAAGGGTTAAGTCGGGCCTGTCCCTCTACAGGGGGAATATTCAAAAATAGTAAAAAATAGTCTGGGGACAATTGTAGCATCTTTGGAGCATTTTTGGGGTATATTCTATTTTTCGTCCAAAATCCCCCTGTAGGGAGCCAGGCCCGACCTAAATCAAGAGGGCGTGGATTAGCGACGGGTCCCGTTTCCGTGGGAAATCGCGGATTTCCGCCGCCGAGCGAGGCGGCGCCGGCCGCACTTTGGGGAGGGCACCTCCCCCGATCCATGGATTTGGCGGCCGCGCGCCAAATGAGTTTGCGCGCCCCTGAGGATTCCCACAGCGTTGCGCACGATCACCCTGGCGAGGAAGCTTCCATTGATAGAGAGACTGCAGACATCCAGGGTCCAGGCCTCCCAAAAGGAGTCCGAGTAGATGAGGTCGAAGGATCGCGCTGCATCGCCGATGAGTCGGCGTTGCGGCTCGATGTGGAGCACGATCTTCTCCACGCCGAAGGCCCCGATGCATCGCCGACGTCGCCGACGCATCGACGATGTGTGGGCGATGCGGTGCGATCCTCCGACAGGCGGCCTGAGAGAAAGGCGCCACTAGCCCTGAAGCGCGTGGGAGAATAGCCCAACCGATTTGCATGCGCGGCAGCAGTCAGGGGCAACGTGGGGGGGATGGGCTCATGGGGGGTGGGGAGACGCACCGACCCCCGACCGCCCAGACATCTCCGATATGGGGCCCGATGGCCAAATCCGCCCAGTTCGGTATCGAGGGCACGTCGCCGATCCATCGGCGAGGTGTCACCGATGGCAGGTCGAGGTTTCCCCCCCCCCCCCCGGGCCACTCCCCCCCCCCTAACGGTGCCCCTCGAGGAGGAGGAGGAGAGAGAGGCCCGTTGCATTGCGAAGTATTTCGGCATCAATTCTACAGCCTGAGTGCCGTCTCCCAGCCCTCCCCCTCCTCCTCTTCCTCCTCTTTCTCCTCCTCCTCCTCCTCCTCCTCCTCCTCCTCCTCCTCCTCCTCCTCCTCCTCCTCTTCCGGGTTCGCCAACGGGCAAGGGGGGCGAGCCAGACGAGGCTGGGGCGACGGCGCTGCGAGCAGAGCAAGGCCTGCTGCACTGCACAGCCGACCCGCGTCGTCCAGGGAGAGGGCCGGCCCGGAAGCGGGCGCAGGCATGCGAGCAGGAACGAGCGCACGGCAGTCCAGCAGCCTGCCTGTTCGGGCAATTTGGGCCCTCGCAAGCTGAGAAAGAGAGCGAAGAAGCGTACCTCACAACATTCGCACGACCATGCTCCCCAGCATGACGCAGACGGTGCTCACCTACAAGAGGGCGCGTTGGAGTAGGAGCCAGGAGGAAGAGGCCGAAGAGAGGAAGAGTAGGAGGAAAACATGATGATGTTGATGTTGATGATGATGTTGATGATGATGACGATGATGATGATGTTGATGTTGATGACGATAATGACGATCATGCTGTTGATGGTGCTGGTGCTGGTGATGGTGATGATGATATGGTGATGAGGGGAATACCATGATGACGATGATGATAATGATGATTATGACGACGATGGCGATGGCGATGGCGATGGCGATGGTGATGCTGCTGCTGCTGATGATGATGATGATACTGATGATGATGATGATGCTGATGATGATGATGATAATGTTGCTGGTCTAATGATGATTGTGATGATGCTGATGTTGATGCTGTTGATGATTATGATGCTGCTGGTGCTGATGATTATGCTGATAATGCTGCTGCTCATGATATTGTTGATGATTATGACGATGTTGATGCTCTTGATGATGATGCTGATATTTATGACGATGATGACGATGACGTTTATGATGCTGACGGTGCTGATGCGGGTGATGATGATGATATGATGATGAGGGGAATGTCATGATTATGCTGATGATAATGGTACTGGTGATGATCCTGATGATGCTGATGATGCTGATGATGATAATGATGATGCTGCTGATGATGATGTTGATCGTGACGGTGATGGTGATGATGCAGATGATGCTGATGATGCTGACGTTGATGATGATGCTGCTGGTCTGATGATGATGCTGATGGTGCTAATGGTGCTGATGCTGATGCTGCTGATGATTATGATGCTGTTGATGCTGATGATGATGCTGATGATGCTGCTGGTCATGATGATGCTGCTGATGATGATGGTGGTGCTGCTGATGAGAACGATGATGATGCTGACGATGATGCCGATGATGATGATGATGATGATGATGATGATGATGATGATGCTGTTGTTTGCTGTTGATGAGTGTGATGGTGATGGTGATAATGATGATGCTGATGATGCTGATGCTGATGCTGATGCTGCTGATGCTGATGACGATTCTGACGATGATGCTGAAGAAAAGGATGATGATGCTGATGCTGATGCTGATGCTGATGATGATGATGATGATGATGATGATGATGATGATGATGATGTTGATGATGATGATGATGATGATGATGATGATGATGATGATGATGATGATGATGATGATGACTATGCTGATTTTGATGATGGCAATGACGATTATTGCGGGGAGGAAGTGGAGGAGGAGGAGGAGGGCGGAGGGTGTGAGGGAAGAGGAGGCGCGGGAACAGCAGGAGTGGAGTGGCAGATGATGTGGAGGAGGGGGGATCATCGGCAGGGTTTTGCCAGGGATGAGCACGATAATAAGGAGTGAGGACGAGGGGTGCAGCGGTAGTCGCAGCAGATGCTTGAGCGGTGTGTGATTGTGAGTGGCACGCTGTACAGGTTTGGGAAGTCCGTTCCTCGTGATGGACCTCGTGCGTTAGTATGCCGAGAGGCGTGCGTAGGGCATACTTACGTTTCGAACTCGTTTTGAGGCCGCGGGCAAGAAATATGAAGCACGTGCGGAGCAGGGCAATCAAGCACGAAATTTACAAACGTTGGCTTAAAGGCAGGATGGGAGGTCGTATATCTCAGGATTCACGTAATAGTCTCCCAGGGAGAGGGGAGAACAGAGGAAGTTGGGAGGGGCAGACAGTAGAGAGGGGAATAATGAGAGGGCAGTGGGTTAGAAGAGGGATGAAGCGAAGGACTTGACTGCCTGCATGAGACAGAGCCGCCCCGCTGGCAGGGCCGCTGGCAAGCCCTTTGGCAAGCCCATTCATATCTTGCCCCGCAAGTACACCAAGCTATATCGCCGAGCCCCTCTGCCCAAGAGGTTCAAGAACGCCACCGAGGACTGCAGCACTGTCTCTCTCTCTCTCTCTCTGTAGTATCACGGGCCATTTCAACTTCTCTCAGCAGGTCCATAATTCTTGCCACTCTGTCCATTCACTGGCGTGGGCGCGACAACGGGACGTGGGGGCGCGGATAAGACGCAATGTGCAGATGAGAGAAGATATCAGTCCAGTTGCGCTGCCGCACAGGCCTACCAACCCGCTCGGGGCATGTATGGAAACGCTAAAGTTGGGCATGGCTGTGGCGTTGCCTGATTGATTCGTTGCCTCTTGGGGGCCTTTTCGACGCATCTTGGGGGCCCCTAGGGGACCTCTTCTGGGCCCTCCAGAGCGCTTCGTGGACCGTTGGAGGCCGTCTGCTTCGATCCCAAGGCCGTCTGAATGCCTACTGGACGGCATATTGACACGACCTCTCAGAGTGGCACGCTGGACACGTGAAGACGTGTTGCGAGGATGGCTTCCAATGAGCTTGTTGGGGAGCTCCTCGGGGGCCTTCTGTGGGTATCTTGCGCCATGCTGCTGCTCTGTCTGGTGTTGTGCCGGGGTGCCTCCGGGGGGCGCGGGGCCGTCACAGAGCGTCGTGGCGCCGTCGCAGCGGGCCTCGCTAACATCCTCCTCCTCCTCCTCATCCTCCTCCTCCTCCTCCCCTCCTCCTCCTCCTCCTCCTCCTCCTCCTCCTCCTCCTCCTCCTCCCAGGGCCTTCACTTTGGCCGCCTGGGAGCCGTCTTCGGCAGCTTGCGCGTCTTTTTTGAGCGGGCTCGTGGGTGCCCCAGGGCCTTGGTAGGCAGCCTTGGGAGGAGCAAGATATGGAGAGCGAGAGAGAGAGAGGGACAGAATGAGAGATGTAGGTGGCACGTGCGTCCCAAGGCTCATACAAAAAGGAATGCATCACGTAATCATCGCAGACGATGGGCAATAAGAGGAATGTGAAGTCGGACCCGAGACGGAGAAGGAGATGCATGACCAGATACATAAAGCAAAGAAGGAGGATCATGCAGATCACCAGGGGGCTGTTGGGAAGGAGGGGCCATAGCGGGATCGCACTGGAACGCAGATGGGGTTGCTACACCTCGCGATGTGTGTGTGTGTGTGTGTATGCGGCGGAGGTGGGGGTTATACAGCTTGCGATTGCAAATGAAAAGAATTTCCGAAGTCAATTGTTAGAATATCTCTCGAGCGAACCTGTCGTTTCGTAGAAAAGGAGGCAACTTTGAACACGTCGGGTTTCAATGCTCGGGAGATGTCTCACGCGAAATGGCTGTTTGGTTTGTAAGAGCGACGTTCAACATCATTGAAGTCCATTGTTTGTTTTGAAGGTTCTACGTTAGCACGTTGAAAATCCATTGTTTGGGGCCGTGACCTCGCGATCTCTTTGATGGTTACCTCCGATTTTCTGAACCTCGAGGATCCCCCGAGCGAAACGGCCAGAGCACAACACAGCACGCCGCGGCGACGCACAGCACGACAAGCATACCTCCACAGCAGCCAGAGGCCCACCAATGCCGGCAGCACGCGCAACGAGACACCAGACAACGGCCACCACAGCGCGAAACACCGATCACGCCCGACATGCACGGCGAGAGTGGCGAAGACAGCACAACTGCAGACCCGTTGGAACGTTGTGTCGAATACATCCAGAGGGCGACACGACGAGCAGAGCAACTTGTGAAGCTTCACGGCACCGACACTTGTGTGACGGTGCGCGAGGGATCAGTCTGGCGCGTGGCTTCAAGAGCCGCAGGCCACGACCGAACAAAGTAGGCATGGCGAGTGCTACGCTGACAGTCAGGCCTCAAGCGGCGCCAGTGGAGACAGAGGCAGCACAGCGGCCAACGCAGGCGTCGGGACGACGCTATCAACGCCCACCAGACCTCCACCGACTATCCACACGGATCCGATCGAAAGGACAGCGCCAAAGACATCACATGGACGCAAATATCCATGTATCGAACAGTGGGCGGCGCTCGAGCATCACTACACTGACCTCACACCAGCCAACATCCAGGACCAAGACCCATAAACAAGTGAACACCCAGAGAAAGTCGAGATGACACGCCCAGCCCGCACCGACACCGACAACAAGGATTTTCTCTTATTCCTCTTCTCCTACTTTTTCATGTATCCCGCATTTCATGTATCCAGACAAGTCAGATTCTCGAGACCACGGCCTCGCCCACCTGGTCTAAGCTAATGTCCGGACGCAGTCCGCAACGGCGGTCACAACGCATCGCATCGGGCGAAACGGCCAGAAGAAGCACCATGGTTTCAATTAGTCGCCTTTTAGATCTACTCCTTCCGAGAAGTATGTACGATAATGCACATGTGACTAAAGAAAGAGAGATAAAGAGAGAGAGAGAGAGAGACAGAGAGAGAGAGGGAAAGAGAGAGAGAGATATATAAATATGTGTATATATATATATATACCTATATAACAAAAAGATAAGGATACATCTAAAGAGACAGAGACATGGACATAGAGAGACAGGGGGCGTGTGTGTGTGTGACCTGTTCTACGCCGCGCCGCCGCCCGCGTGGCCTTGACGCCAGAAGTTTGCGTGTGTGTGTGTGTTGGTGTCTCTACTTCTCGACTCTGCGCGCGAGGCCGTGACGCCAAAAGCGTGTGTGTGTGTGTTTGTGTGTGTGTTTTCTTTTGTGTGTGTGTGTTTGTGCAATGTATGTACAAGACGGCTCCAGCCTGGCTCAAACCGTTTCGGGTCAAGCCGCGTGCCGAAAGGAGGCCATTCCCCTTTCCATCACCCGCACTTCAACTTCATCCTTTCCTTCTCCACGCTAGCCAGCATGTTCCTGGGCGCCATGGCGGAGACCGTGCGCTTGGCAATCGCTCTCGGGAACCTGTGCGTCCAGAAGGACATGTGTTCCGCCTCCATCTTGTGTTCGCCGGCCTTGCCTGGCGTGTTGTATCTCATCTTGATGCGGCAGCTCGTGCACACCGCCAGCACGGCGGTGGCGTTCCGCGCGAAGGCCTTCTCGTCAGCGGCTGCACCGTCGCCGTCCGCGACCCGCTGGACTGGTGCCCCATCGGCGGCCGGGCCGTGGACATCGCCTCCTGCATGGTCTTCTCGCGCTTCGGGGAGGTGGACGAGGAGGAGGAGCAGGAGGAGGAGGAGGACGAGGAGGAGCAGGAGAAGGAGGAGGACAAGGAGGAGGAGGAGGAGCAGGACTTTGTGGCGGCGCGCACTTTGCTGCGGGGCAGGAGGACCCGAAGGCCCGGGACCAGAAGGGCAAATTCGGCCTGGACCACGACCCGTTGACGGAGGTCGGGGAGGTCGTGGTCGTGGGCGTGAGATGGCGGGGTTGGGTCGTGGGGGCGGAGGCGGGGGCTGGTGGCTTCGCGCTGGAGGTGGCGGTGGAGGTCGTGATGGTGGAAATGGAGGGCCAGCCGAAGGCGGGGGCGGAGGAGGGGAAATGCTGTTTCAGCGTGTGCGGCGACGAGGGCTCGTGCTTGGCGGGCTACCGCGCTTCGCAGGTCTTCGCAGCGGGACGAAGAGCATGGATGTGAACGTCCGGGAGCTTCTGGACCTGGCGCTGCAGAAGACGGCCCAGTTCGTCAAAGGGCGCACCTCTGCTTCCCACGTGGAGTTGCGCTTCATCACCGCGAGGTTCTTCCATGAGCCTGATTTCCACCCCGCGGGCTCCGCCAGGACAGCCCGAAGGCCATCCACATGCCCAGGCGCACGGTGCCAGAGGACTTGGAGAAGGCGCTCTTCCTTCCCCTCGGGCTGTCCAGCGCCAACACGGTTCGCTTCAGCGCCAATGCCACCAGCGACCGCCGCCGCCCGCAGGAGGCGTGCGACGAGACAACCCGCTAGGCGACCGAACGCGTGTCCACCTGGGTGCTGCCCAGCACGTGGTGGGCGTGGAGGGCCTCACTGGACGTGACCAGCCTCGTGGGATGGTTCCTGAACGTGGCGCGCCTCCAGCGGGGCGGCCGCAGGGGCCTCGGGCTCCTCAGCGCTGGCACGGCGCTCGCGGCCACCAGGCTCCTGCAGCATGAGCTGCAGGGATTGCCTTGCCGGATGTCTGCGGGGCGATCCCGTTTTGTTCGCGTTCCAGCCGGGTCGCTGATCGCGTTTTTTGTCATGCTGCCACCCGTGATCATGGTGAGAGTTCACGGGGTGAGTACATTTCCGAACGCTGAAAGGCCAGCTTGCAGCGTGCATGATTCGTTGATAATGGGGATTTGCCTTGCCCCCTTTCTGTGGTGCCATTTGAGAATGCAGACTGCCGATTTGTTTATGTCAGTTGTCTCTTGCATCCTGTCTTCAGTGCCAGTTGATTCTGCCTCACACATTATGCTTTTAGAACTGCTCGGAGACCTGTGGTGGCGGAAGTGGCTGCCCTGCTCTGCGTGAGCTAGAGCGCCCCAAGCCAGGTTCCTGCTTGCGCACGTTTTCTTGCGCATGGAATTCTCGGGAACTGATGGTGGCAAAAAGGGCTGCCCTGCGTGAGCTAGAGCGCCATCCCAGGCTTGGCCTTAGTATTCTGTGCCTGTCATTTTTTCTTCATCCGAATGTGCATATTCATTCCTGACCGACGTAGTCGCAACCTCATGGAGTACGTGTATCTTGTGGTATGCCCATACTCTCCCGCATACAGAGCTGTTCAGGCCTCGGCTCATTCCATGATACTGCCTACTGCACGCCGGCCTGAGCGGTGTCCTCGCTTTGCCTGCTGCGTTGCACAGCGTGCGCGTCTCATCGCCCCCTTCCTCCTCGCCCCCTTCCTTGTCGGTCGTGTCGTCACCCGCGCTCCCCGCCGCTCCTCGTCCTTCGCCGCCCCGCCTTCCCCCCCCCTCCGGCGGCCGCTGTGGTGCCGGCTGGGCGTCGACCTTGCCGCCCTTGCCTCGTTTTCTGCCGCCCGGCCGGGCGCGATGACGGTCTCGTTATCCCAACAGGTCGTGGTCCCACGGCCTGTCGTCCCGCAGCTTGTCTACGGGAACAAAAAGTGACATAAATATACAAACTCGGAGGTCCCCGCGG